AGTAACCGCAAACATCTCACTGACTTTTTAGAGAGCCAGATTTCTGAGTGCTTAGGTGCGTACCTGCATTACTAGTTTGGCTAATGGTGGTAGCCAATGAGAAGGAATTTTTTTTTACAAATGACAACTGCTGGTGAGGTTTGATTCCTGCAAAAGCCAGTTACACAAAGGGCACTGAGGACTGTTACCAACTCCAACTTCAGAGCCCCACCACAGAGGCCACAATTATAATCTCATTGTGGCCTGGAGACATTTTTATGTCCTAGAGGACTCAGGACCTTGGAAAAGCTGTTATTGACTGCAGGGAGACCGTGTCTCACCAGGGAAGTGTCTGTCTGGTAGAGTGATTTGGACAATATGGGCAGAGTTGACCGAGTTCTCCAGAACAAGGTGTTTTTAGTGTCTGACATCAGTCCAGAGCTGAGCTGAAAACAAGACATTGTCCATGGTGTAACTGAAATCATCAGGGATGAAACTCATCCTTTATATTATACCAATTAAATAAATTTCAACTGGGGATGAATTTACTCTGTTATGTGCAGTTAAAGAAAAAAATAAAATTACAAAGTAAAGAAGAAAAAAAAAAGATCTATATTAACAGTGATTTCCCGGGTAGCTCAATGCCATCCCATTCCTTTAAGTGAAAGGATATTCTTTCAAGGTTAGCCAGACCAAGGTACTGATATGCAAGAGAGAATGATGCAGAAGCTGTCCATTTTTCTAATATGCACATTAAAGTTTGGCTGCTACGACAGCTGCTAATGGAAATATTCTTGGCCCCAGCTTCTGTTTGATAGATTAATGTGATATTCATAAAAAAGGTAAATTGATAGAAATACTAAAATTCATTGGAAAATACAACCTCTACCTAAATGTAAGGACAAAGACAGGATATGCTTTGCAGTGTATATAACATTCAGATTTAATAAGGAAATGTAGTTTTAATGGTTATTTGTATCCCAGCCCTTATTCAATGCTAAACTGGATGCAGGATACAGTCTCTGCCTCCAGGTCATAAGGCAAGTTCGGCAGCCCTTGCTATCCAGAGAGAGGGTGGCAGGTTCAGTTCCTGAGTTTTCAGCAGGTTTTATGGTGTTCCTTCAAGTCTGCTAGTTATTATTTCACATTTACCAGCATTTCCCAAACTTGATTCATAAAAAAAAAGTTTGAAAAAATTGAACATAAAATTAGAGTGTATTTCTTTTACGTGTCACTGAATTTGGATTATTTCAGATTCTGTAGTAGAAAAAAAGGCCTTAAATATTTCAGCATAACGTTAGCCTCAAAGGAAGAAATCCATTATGCTTAAAGAGATTATATTTGCGGATACGATGCAGAATTAGTATGCAACCCAAAATATACAAACAAATACCAGAGAAGGAGACCACACAAGCCCTGCAGCAGTGTGGTACCAAAGTGTATCCACTGTGAACTCCTGTGTCTGAATTAGACAAATTTAGTTCACTGGTAGACTAGTGATGTCTCTCTCACCCTCCTTTTCTTCTGTAAACCACAAAGAAGGTGAAATGAGCCCATTCTGTGACTGAGAACTTCCCAGTCAGAAGCTGGGAGCAGCTCTAGGAGGACACTGTGTTTCTCAGGCATTTTTTGGCAAGGCAGATGTGCTTGTTTCAACCTGAAACTGTTTTTGCTGGCATTTTTATCATACCAAGTGCTAGCAAACTTCTCATATTGTTTTCAGGAGGCCCGGAGCTATAGCGGGTCTCCGCCCTTACCTCTGCTCGGTGCGAGTTAAACGCTGCACACCAGACAAATATTTTCTTTCTGTGTTCGAAAAAGGGACAGGAGAAACTTTATTAATAGTGTCTGCCTCAACAGTGAGGCTGTAAAGAGTGGCATATCTCCCTGGAGCTGGGATTAACAAATCCTAAAGTTTCCTCATGGTTTACTCTTTGAAAAATACTTTGTCTTCTGAGACCAAGCTTAAAAACTTTGAAATATGAAAGGAAGAATGAGCAGGTAACCAGCTGTCACCTGTGGCTGTTAACACTGTTATATATAACAGATTTCAGGAGTAACTTAAAAATCGAGTCCTGCCAGGAGGACAAATCATTTGACAGATTAAAAACTGTGAGCCATATAAATTTCTTTGAGATGTACCCATGCTTACAGCCAAGCCCTACAAATTCTCTTTACGATCCCATTGACTGTGCAAAGCAAAGGGGACAGCTGCCTATTCTGTAATGTCACCCCTTAATCAACAGGAGCCCTCTCATTTGGCTGATTCAGTGTGGTCATGTTGTAATCTTATGTTGCAGGGAGAGGTATTTGCAACTTCCTATCCCCTAAATGATGTACCAAAGTTTGGAGGATGGTCTCTGTGGGTTACTTTCACAGTTTGCAGCCGGAGACAAGCTCCTTCAGGAGAAAATTTAATACATCCAAGTCAAATTCTGCTTAGTAAAACATGTGAATATTCCCTGACATGACAGTATAACAGCAAAGCAATGACTGTGCCCTAGAGCACCTGCAGTTTGGCTTCTTATTTATACAGTGACTGAAAGTGCATTTAGTTCTCCTGGATAAAAGACAACAGCCCAGTTAAAAATCATCATCGCTATTAGTATTTACTGATCTGGAGGTAATTTTGGTTCATATGAACAAGAAGTGTGGTCCCTAACACAGCTGGGGCTGCTCCTGTAAGAGGCTGGTGTGGTGGGAAACAAAATTTGACATATGGCCAGAACTGGCCCAGTTGGCCATATCACTGGAGACCCTCCAGAGTGACCTGCGTTGCCCCTGCCCCCAGGCTCTGTCTGCATTTCAGACTGTGCTGTACCATGGTAATACACAAGCTCATTTTAAATCAGCAAGGTCAGGCCGTGGGATATGTGCAGCCCAGATGGAGCTCTGCAGCATAATGCACTTGGCTGCCCCAGGAATGAGAGATGAGGACACATCTGGCATAGACCCTTCACAGAGGAGGACTGGAAGAAGATGGGGCATGGTAACCTGCTGGCATAACCACCTGAGTGGTATGACCTCTCAGTAACCAATGCCATTTATAATATGACACTAGATTTGTTACTACATGAATAAAGGCAGAAGGGAAGGCAGGACAGGAACAACTTGTAGTGGGTTGCCTGGTCCTTCCCAGTATGATACTGGCCCAAGCCCCTGTAAGTGCACCTTACAGAGGCATTCCCTATGGTATCTAGTGCTGGCAGATGCCTTTCAGTTTGCCTCTCTGATGCTCAAATAAGCACTCAGTAGAAGCTGTGATCAAGTTCATTAGTAGGACTGAGAACACACAACTGTAGTGAACTGTAATCTGCAATTTTTTTTTTAATTTTCAATGAATTACTGCCATTTTTTTTTTTTTTAATGTCATTTAGGTTCCTGCTCCAGCAGGGCGATTGGACTAGATGATCTTTTGACATCCCTTCCAATCCCTAACATTCTGTGATTCTGTGATTTTTCCTAATCCTTTTAGGACTATTTTTAAGACTAATCAAATGACACATCCTACATGTTACCCAAGTACCAACTGGGATTGGACTAGATGATCTTTTGAGGTCCCTTCCAATCCCTAATATTCTGTGATTCTGTAACTGGTAACAAAGCCTGCAGCTGTGTGTCTGTCATGTACTGACTGATCAGTGCTATAGTGCTCTGAAGGCATTAGCTTCTTCACACAGAAAGTCCATCCTTCAAATGGCTTTTAGTGGGAGCACACTGGGAAATTACTGCAAACAGTGAGGAA